CATTCCAAAATAATAATAAAAAAAGGCCTGATTTTATGGCTAATGTGTATGAAATCAAGGTAACTATCATATCATACTTAAAATTTAGTTGTATTGATAACTAATGCACACACACACACAAATGAATGAAAAATAGAATCCGAAAAAAAAAAATCAAAATTATCAGAAATAGATTTTAAGGCTTAAATAGTTACCAAAACTATGAAGGACGAGTCTGCGATGGGAAGATTCCAGTCATTGCTCCTCGAGAAATATAAAATAAGGGATCACTTAGATTAAATCCATGCTCTCCGAACCTAGTCTAAATTAGCTAAATAAATGGCAGAGGAAAAATCTAGACAACCAAGATGATATAGGAAAAATCTCCTTTCATTTAATGGATTGAATTGACAGATAAGAATGTAGAAGAGATTTGAAATAAGATGAGGTCGTATTTAATGTACGTAAAAACTTCCAAAGATGAATTAAAAAATGGTGGAAGTATTTAGACACAAAGATTTGTTCGTGTACAGATCTTCGTTTTTACCAAAAAAATGCATGAAACAAATATTCCTTCACCACATCATAAACCCAACCAATATAAGCAAATATAAAACATTTAAAAAATACATTCAAAAAATAAGAAAACGAGAATCACTAAAAATTTTCAAAAATTGATTTTATGGTCTAAATAATTACCAAAACTTTCCTGGACAAGTCTACAATGGTAAGATTCGGCTACTGCTCCTCGATAAACAAAAAATAAAATAAGAAGTTATTGTTTTTAGGTTATAACTTTGCTCTCTTAGCCTAGTCAAAATTCACTCAATAAATGGCAAAAAGAAAGTAACAAAGAAAATCTAGACAACAAAGACGATATAAAAAAAATCTGCTTTGATTTAATGGGATGGCATTGACAGATAAGAATGTCGAAGAAATTAAAAATAATATGAGGTCATATTTAATGCATTGTAATATTATGACATATATGGAGAATTTTCCTAAATGGTTACAACAATAACCAGTTCAAAAAAATTAAAAAATGAGCAGACACTTGGCTGGAAGTTTGAAATGAGCCTTGACGTTCGGATTTTGGGCTCAATTTTCTTGCATGTAATGTGAAGGATTTTATATAGATTTGACCAAATTAAATATATCATCTCCCTTATAATTTTATATTAGAAAAATTAATATGCAAAATCTATAGATAAAATTCAGTAACTACTTACCTCGTTGCTAAATTTAAATTGAATAGATTTTGAATAGACTGAAGCATAATGTTTTAGGCCAGCCACCTTCGTCTTCACTATGTCATATCCATTTTTAAGGCTTCTTTAAGGACTCAATAAAATAAGAAGTGATTGTTTTTAGGTTATAACTTTGCTCTCTTAGCCTAGTCAAAATTCACTCAATAAATGACAAAAAGAAAGTAAGAAAGAAAGTCTAGACAACAAAGACGATATAAAAAAAATCTGCTTTGATTCAATGGGATGGCATTGATAGATAAGAATGTCGAAGAAATTAAAAATAATATGAGGTCATATTTAATGCATTGTAATATGATGACATATATGGATAATTTTCCTAAATGGTTACAGCAATAACCAGTTCAAAAAAATTAAAAAATGAGCAGACACTTGGCTTGAAGTTTGAAAAGAGCCTTGACGTTCGGATTTTGGGCTCAATTTTCTTGCATGTAATGTGAAGGATTTTATATAGATTTGACCAAATTAAATATATCATCTCCCTTATATTTTTATATTAGAAAAATTAATATGCAAAATCTATAGATAAAATTCAGTAATTACTTACCTCGTTGCTAAATTTAAATTGAATAGATTTCGAATAGACAGAAGCAAAATGTTTTAGGCCAGCCACCTTCGTCTTCACTATGTCATATCCATTTTTAAGGCTTCTTTAAGGACTCAATAAAATAAGAAGTGATTGTTTTTAGGTTATAACTTTGCTCTCTTAGCCTAGTCAAAATTCACTCAATAAATGGCAAAAAGAAAGTAACAAAGAAAATCTAGACAACAAAGACGATATAAAAAAAATCTGCTTTGATTTAATGGGATGGCATTGACAGATAAGAATGTCGAAGAAATTAAAAATAATATGGGGTCATATTTAATGCATTGTAATATGATGACATGTATAGAGAATTTTCCTAAATGGTTACAACAATAACCAGTTCAAAAAAATGAGCAGACACTTGGCTTGAAGTTTGAAAAGAGCCTTGACGTTCGGATTTTGGGTTCAATTTTCTTGCATGTAATGTGAAGGATTTTGTATAGATTTGACCAAATTAAATATATCATCTCCCTTATAATTTTATATTAGAAAAATTAATATGCAAAATCTATAGATAAAATTCAGTAATTACTTACCTCGTTGCTAAATTTAAATTGAATAGATTTTGAATAGACAGAAGCAAAATGTTTTAGGCCAGCCACCTTCGTCTCCACTATGTCATATCCATTTTTAAGGCTTCTTTAAGGAATCAATGAAATCCCGTTGTGGCAGATTTCTCAATGCATAGTGGTCCACGATAGTATATGCAAAACGTTCCAAGCAAATGAGGATCTTCGAAATCAAGCAGAAGATTTCTGAATGATATTAGAAAATTAAACCACAAATGACGATAAAGAAGACACACATACTATTTATTATCAGCTACATTCGTATGCATGTTTATAATTCGACATCTAGTTTGCAAACTAAAATTATGTTTACAACCCTGGTATATTATCTTTCTTCTTTAAGATGTGACAACGCACACAAATGAAAAATATATAAATGAACTACTGCAATCATCGTCACCCACTGGATACACTATGTCTCTTTCCCTGATAAGGAATCTTTCGAATGATATTAGCAAACAACTAATGAGGATAAATAAGGCACACGTATTATTATAATCAGCAAGAAAGTATGTTCTGTTTGTGCAACCTCTCTTCTTATTTGCTACAGAACAAAGTGTGATTAAGCTTTAAAATTCTCAGCTGGCAATTTTTGCAATGAACTAACTAAGGCCTTGTTTGGTGACTTTGTTTGGTTTCCAAGATAAGATTAGCAAAGATAAAATTAAATAATCTAATGACAACCCAATTATTTTATCGGACCCCAAGACGTCCAACAAAAAAACTTATTAAGAGGTAAGATAAACCATGACAACATAATATTTGTGAGTCGACACGGCAAGTTATTGGGATACCAAACATCAAACAAAGTCCAATTATTTAATTAATAATGACTAATGTCCCCAACCAAATGAGGCCGAAGTTGAAATTTCTGATCTTTGTTTTCCTGATTAGGAATCTTCCTGGACTAGCTAAGGTGAAATTTCTTGTAAATTAGTAAGTTAAAAACTCGATTCAGCCTCAATTCAAAACTCGGTTGCATGCATAAAAATCACAGCAACAACATGGCAACGTGTGTACGAGAATATAAGAACATAACTCGTCAAAATACGAAAAGATGGAAGTCACCATCAACATCGAGCTTCAGATATGGGAAAAGGGGGCTGAGGCGAAAAAGGGTTTGATGAAACGGCGGCGTTTCCACTGGCAATGATTCATCATAGTGAAGAAGATTACACCACGAAAGTTGGATTTGATCGGAGAGATGAATCAAACGAATAAATGATAAAAAAAATAGAGAGGTAATTTAAGAAGATGCAATTGTTCAACGTAACAGACACTAACATTCCTTAACGTCCTACTTATTTTGATACTTGATTCCAATTAATCACACTTAGTGATGGAATATATACATATACTAGTTGAGAGGGGCACCGCGTAGTGCGCGGTGCTGTTTGCCCAGTATTAATGTCTAGTTTAAGGGTGAAAGTCGGATGGATCGGATAAAATTAGTTTTTCAAAATGTTTTTAAAGTGGTCGGAAGTACAAAATCAATTCCAATATTTTTTTGTATAGATGTTCAATATATTATTTCAAATTATTGAATTGAATTTTTGTGATGAATAAATTTAGTAAATTATATTTTTTAAAAGATAATAATATTATAATTATTCACAAATAATTCAAAATAAAAAAAATTTAAAAACCCGATTGGCCACCGGTTGAACCGGTTCAACCGTGACCCAGTTGGCTAGCCGGTTCAACGTCTGATTCAGTTTTTAAAACATTGGATTTAAATATTTTATTTTTGGGGACTAAACTAATATAAAATAAAAGAAATATAAAGAAAAGGAAAAAAAAAATTGTTTGGTACAGAAAAAAATTAAAAAAAATGTAGACGAACCAATGTGCGGTGAGTGGTGCCTATGAGAGTCGTAATTACGTAGCTTATTTAATGAAAATAATTTGTGTTCTCTGTGAGTTTTTAATATAAAAAATATTTAATTTGGGAAAGAAAGAAAGAATTAATGTACATGTAATAATAAGAAGATAAAAAAAATTGTGATATTTGGAGCCACATGGAAACAATGTAAACTAATCTCAATATGAGAGCACCAACAATTGTGTCGAATAAAAGAGAACAAAGGCAGGAGAGAGAAGTGAAAGAATTATATAAAATAAAGACATGAGAGAGAAAATCGGTGCTGCACATGCAGTATTGCGCCAGCAACCGACGGCGGGCCCCTACAGCAAGGTACCGACCTCATTAAATAAAATTGGAAAAGAAAAATGCTGCTAGTTGCTTTTGGAGTGGAAAATACTAAAACGATGTCGTTTTATTATGGGCCGAAAAAAAAAAGGAAAAAAAAGCTAGGAGAAGCTTGGGCCATCCATTCTTATATATAAGTAATACACACACACACACACACACACACATATATATATATATATATATATATATATATATATATATATATAATTAACTAAAATGCTAATTGTAGCGGGACTTTTACTGAAATTGGCTTACTTGCAACGGTACTTTCATTTCACATTTTTCCAACTTTCTAAAAAATTCAAAACGCTCTTAACTTAAAAAAGTCGAAAAAAAAGAATTTGTTGTTTGTTTGATAAATAAACTACCCGACAACAACAAATAAGATAATGGCCGATTCGGATGACTTCTACGAGGTAAAATCGAAGAAATTAGTGATTTTTTTTTCAGCGGTAATATCGTGTTGTCAGCACGAGAACCCAAATTTTTGGGGTTTTCCGTGCACACAACACGGGAAAATCAAAATTAAAAAAGAAAAAAGGTTCAATCGTCCTGTGGAGAACGGGAACTTGGGGTTCCCGTGTCCTAGAGGACGGAAACTTGTGTTTCCCGTATCCTAGAGGACGGGAAACACGAACATTCGTCCTCTAGGGCACCGGAACCCCAAAATTTATTTATTTTTAATTTATTTTTTATTTTTATTATATTTAATTCATAGTGTTATTAATATACTAATTGTTATTTGTTATACCTTGATAGGCTAGTGATGGTGATTTTGATGATGAGTTTGCAACTGAATATGACAACGAGTACGAGGATCCCTACATGTGTTATGATGTACCTCAAAACACACCAACAACTTCTGAGGATCACAGTCAATATTTCAATGTGGATGTTGAGTTTGAAATAGGGAAAGAATTAGTGGTATGGGCAAAAAAAACGGATGCTACTCACGGTCATCGATTGATAGTAACTTCAAGCCAAAAAAACGTTTATGTAGTAATTAGATGTCATGTGTCTAGGAAGGGACGTAAAAAACCAACCGAAGGTGTGAAGCAACGAAATGTGGGAACAAAGAAATGTGGATGTCCGTTTCGTATATACTGTAGCGGAAATCAATACGGTGGACTATGGCGAATGAATTTAAAAAATAGCATCCACACTCACGCGACGCTACCGTATCTTAACGGACAAGGACCGGATAGTCGTTTGACACTAGAAGAATACGAGGTAGTGAAGTTACTTAGAAGGAGCCACGTGAAGCCGGCATTAATTATGGATCGATTGAGGAAGGATAATCCACAGACATCGACGAGCGTGAAACATGTCTACAACCAACTTGAGAAGATGAAGAAAGAGAATATGGTGGGGAAGACTGTGATACAACACGTGATGTCGAATCTTCAAGAATCTGGATATGAATATCGGTATCGAAGTAATGAAGCTGGTGATACACTTACTGATTTGATGTTTGCCGCTCCTATTTCATTGAAACTTTTGCGGTTATTCTCTCACGTTGTATTGATGAACTGCACTTACAAAACCAATAGGTATGTTGTTAATTAGTATTTAGTATTGGGTTATTGTATATTGATTGCATTTGATATTTATGTTTTTATGTAGGTATGTGATGCCACTTCTAGAAAGAGTTGGGAGCACCCCTGTTGGTTTCAATTTTACAATTGTTGTTGCTTTCATGTCACATGAAGATTCAGACACATGTGCATGAGCTTTGAGTTGTTTGAAATGTGCATTGGGGAGGCTGGTACCTGATGTGGTATTGACGGATCGTGAATTGGGACTCATTAAAGCAATGCCCCAAATATTTCCAGATTCTGCACATTTTGTAACACCCCGTAATTTATGCGAGAGTCTATTGTAGTAAATAATGAGATTTGGGGCGGATGTGTTATTAATAGAACAGTTGGGGATAAGTATAATAATAATTTTATAAACTTGGCAATCAAGTTTATGACTTGGTAATCCCCGATAAATACCTCATCGTCTTTTGTCTTCTCTCTTTCTCTCTCCGCTCTCTTTCTCTCTCGACTACTCTCTCCTTCTCTCTCTCGGTTCTTGGCTGAAATTCCATAAATTAATTGGAGAAAATTAAAATTCAAGAAGGGGTTTAAAGAAGTGAGGAATATGAAACAAATTTGAGGTTGGAATTGCAAATCCCCAATTCCAATTATCAGCAAAATTAGGGATGCGTGATGCCTTTAGGAAGGGGTTTTAATGATCCGGTGATATTGGTGGAAAGCCTGGGAGGTCGTCTTTCCTGTGGTGACGGCCTCCAGCTGTGGTCGCCGGAGATGTTTGCCGGAATCGGACAAATAAGACAGAAGGTTGCTGAAATTATATTTTATATTTCGGGTTCGGACAAATAAGACAGAAGGTGGAGTTTCGACGATCCGGAGGTGCCGTTGGAATCCTTGGTGGTGTTCTCCAGCATAACTGACCGACGGTGATTGCCGGAATTGGGCGAGAAGTTAAGCCTGCTAGCTGGACTTGTAATAAAATCTGCTGCCGCACCTGTTTTCGGAGCCAAAATCGAAGGGTTTGTAGTAAGAATTTGGGAATAATTCCTTCACAAAACTCGTAGAGGACCTCGAAAAATATTCGTAAGTGTTAAATTGTTTCGAGTTAGAGTATTATAGCCTTTTAGAGATGACAATTTGACGGCAGTGAGTCTGCCAGAAAATGGCAGTTTTGATTAATAATCTTCGTTGGGTTTTATTACTGTCTTAGGATACAAATTTGAGATATGTTTTTTCAGTAAAATTTTAGATGAAGTTCTCATCTTCGATATGGTATATTGTTTGGCCGATTTGGATAACTTTACAAACAATTATAAATTTTACAATAAACTGTACCAGAAAAGAGAATTTATCCAAAATTCTAGCAGTTTTCTGTAATCATCTTTTGGGGCTGTTTTGAATATGTTGGGATCATAATTTGTGATCAGAGTGTTCAGTGAACATGTAGATGCACCTGTTGTCTTTCATTTGGCATATTACTTTCCCAATTTGGATAATCGCACCAATTGTTATATTTTTCGAATACACAGTGCCAGCGAATGCATTTGTTTAAAAAACCTGGCAGTTTCATGCAATCATTTTTCCGGGGCTGTTACTGCTGTGTTAGGTCATTAATCTGGGGTTGGTTTCTAAAGTGAACTTGTAGATGAAGTTTATATCTTTAATTTGATATATAGTTTAGGCTATTCGGATAAGTACGCTGATCGTAGTGATTGTTAGAATTCACCGTGGCGACAAGAAATTCTTAATAAATGTTTAAAGAAATTGACTATGTAAGTCTTATTAAGTGATAAATATTTGTATAGGTGTTGAGGGTATTAAAAGCTCTCACTCATTCAAGGCTTGAGCATGACTCGAGAGTAAGGTGTTTTTATAACACTTGCATTGGACTTCAGGTGAGGATCCCTATCCCTTGCCTATTCTTTCTGGAAAAACAGGATATATGCCGAGCACTCGTATCGTTCGGTTGATTATTGTTATTATTCGTCGTTTAAATTTAATATATATTTATTGTCCCCTATCTTGTGAACTAATTTGATTTCCGAGAAGTTGTTGATTCTTAAGCTATTGCAATCTTTGATCGTTTCGAAATCCTTTTCGTGGAAAGAGCTAACAAATCCTTCCCCTAAAGAGTAGAGGGAGAATTCTTGAATTCTTACTCAAACATGCAACACCACTAGTATTTTCGGTTTTTATGTGATTTAATTGTTTATGCTTGCATATTATGTCATTATATGTCTTAGATGATGATTGCATGTTAGTGTTTTGAAAAGATAACTTTGTTTTTCAAGTTTTATGTTTTTTAGAAAATTTGGGGAAAAATGCTTAAATTGCTTATTTGTCTTAATTAGTGCCTTGCATGTGTTAATCTAGTGCTTGATTGTTGATTTGTGAAAAGAAAATGAATTTTTGGCCTAGCCATGAAAGTTTCGGATTTTTTGGGGCAAAATACTTAAATTGCTTATTTGGCTTAATTAGTGCCTTGGATGTGTTAATCTAGTGTTTGGTTGTTGATTTGTGAAAATAAATTGATTTTTGGCTTAACTATGGAACTTTCAAATTTTTGAGGTAAAGTTGCTTAATTGCTTATTTGGTTTATTTGGTATCTTGCATGTGTTGATCTTGTGTTGGTTGTTGTTTTAAGGCCTTGCATGTTAGGACTTAGTGATTGATTGTTGATCTAATGTCTTGCATGTTAAGATCTAGTGATTGATGGTTGATCTAAATTAAAGTCTTACATGTTAAGATCTAGTGTTTTCTATGAAAAATGATGAATGAACTAAGAATTTGTACTAACTTGATTTAAAATACTATTGCATGTGTAGATCTAGTGAATTTACTTGAATAAAATGAAAAGATGAAAGTCTTGAACTTTATTCTTGTAAAATGCTAGATTTAATGAACTTTTGATTTTAGATTGTCTTTGCATGTTAAGATTTCGGTTATTTCTTGCAATTGATTATGGATTATGTTTTTATGGCTAAATGATTTTGTGAAACTTTATTTCTATTTTGCTATGTGCTCTTGCTTGCATATGTGTTGATCATTGGGTCTCATGAATTTTTAAAAGGTAAAAATATGTTGGAAGGTCTTTCGAGGTTACGGTAATTATCCGGGGTACGACGAGTCGGTACCGTAGGGCCTAGGGGTGGTTTGATTCCACGTAGATAGACGGATTCGTAAAATATGAGGTTATTTACCGGGAACTTAGATTGATTCTTCCAAAGGGATTCCCGATGATTTTTCATGTCATGCATGTCTCATTATGGTGTTGAGGATATAGATGGGAAAATCTCACTCTATGGTCTTGGGATCGTAGGTTTATAAAGGTGGGTGATTATCATTCTATAATCTTCAATACGTGTCATGGCATAGGGTTATATAGGGTGGGATGTTCTCACTCTATGGTCTTGGGATCATAGGGTTATAAAAGTGGGAATGTATCTCACTCTATGCGTGTGACAATTATGTGACGAAGAACTCCGACGAAAAAGGGAAGTATATGATTGCTTTAATTTATGTTGCATGTCCATGTATAAGACATATGTATATATATATATATATATATATATATATATATATATGCTCTATGTGCTATGTGTATTCGATAATACTTCAAGATTCTCATTGAGTCCTCAAAGGCTCATATAGGTGTTGTATGTTTGTAGGTATACCCAATTTGGAGCCCCAGGAGTGAAGTTGGGAATCGAGCTTGGGAATCGGAAGGAGATCGTATGGAGGGGTTGTGGATTGTGTTGGCTCTTAATTTAGTTATGTGGTTTTATTTGTATAATATGCTTGTAAAAACTTTTGATACAATTTTAGGTATTTTCTACCGTTCGATTCCTCCGATAGGTGGAAATTATTAAAGGGTTTATTAGGGATAACCCCCTTGTTCATATTTTCTAATGAGGTAGATCCAATTTTTTTTCCCCTTTTTGAGATAGACCTATTTTGCCAACTTGGCAAAATATATTATATAATTTTCCTTTAATACCCCTGTTTTATTTTTAAACGACATTTATTTCCTTTACTACGTGATTTGAGATTTGCTGATACGTTGCCTAAAATCACGGAATAAAATTACGTGAGATCATTGGCCGTTATATCAAATCGTGTACAATATTTTTCGAAGGTTCTCTTCAGCGTTCCAGCGGTTTTTTATCGTCTTTGAAGATTTCTGCACCGTCGTTGAAATAGGATCGAATTTGAGCGTTCGTTGTTGGACGTTGTTAACCGGGTATGAATGCGTTATTCATTTTTATTTTTCGCTCAATGTCTAGGATTGTCGATTACGGTGGTTAGAAATTTTTAAGAGTTGTGTTGATACTTGATTCTATTAAGTAGAACGTTTTTTAACAAAATTATTCCGTCATATATACATCGTTATTTTTGGCGGATGATGTTTGTTTGGAAGAGGATTGACAGAGTTAGATGAGGATGGTTCACGCATATCGGACCAGAGTTGTTTTATATGAACATCGTAGTTGGTTTACGCATTAATTGAAATAACTGTCCGCTGTCGTGGAGTTCATGAGTCTGATCCCGGTCGAAAGTTGGTTTATTTGTTTATAACAGCGGATTTTAGGACGCTGGGTAGTACATTAAATTCGTAGTATTTTTTAAGTTATCGTATGAATTTTGCATTTTGAGTTTATTTTTGATCATATTAATATATTTTTTAGTATTCTGCATTTTTAATGTCGTATCATATTAATATATACATCGTTATTTTTGGCGGATGATGTTTGTTTGGAAGAGGATTGACAGAGTTAGAAGAGGATGGTTCACGCAGATCGGACCAGAGTTGTTTTATATGAGCTTCGTAGTTGGTTTCTGCAATAATCGGAATAATTGTCCGCTATGGTCGAGTTCATGTTTTTGATCCCGATCGATAGTTGGTTTATTTGTTTATAACAGCCGATTTAAGTGTGCTGGGTAGTACATTAAAATATAGTTCGTAGTCTTTTTTAAATTAGCGTATGGATTTTGCATTTTAAGTTTATTGTTGATGATATTAATGTATTGTCATTCAAATGTATTTGCAGTCTATTTAATCATTTTTTAGTATTCTGCATTTTTAATTTTGTTTCATAATTTTAGGCTTTTTCGATGGCGAATTTCGTACGGATTTTGTTGAGGTTTGGTGGGTTGGTTGCTATAAAGAGGTGTTTACGATGTAATGGCTCGGTAACTTCAGTTAAGTTTTAAACCGTTGTAATACAGTAGTATACTATTATGAATATCGTATGATACTACCATTATCATTTTATTATACTATTATGAGATTATTAATGTACTAGAGTTTTAACTCGACATATTGGTTTGATTGTGTTATGATGTGTTTTATGTATTTTATCAAAACCCTAGATTGAACTTATGAGATTATTAATGTACTATTTTATTGGTTATGTTGGAATACTTTACGTTGGTGTTGTTCTCAATGTTCTTGTCATTTCAGTGGTATATTGTTTGTAACACAATTCATATCACTACTATAACCGTAATACACTATCATAGCAGATCAATGTACTATATTGAAATTATTAATATACTATGTGGTTGAATAATACGGGATCCATAGTCAATTAACGAGATCCATAATCGAATTAGATCAATAAGATAGTCTATTACATGATATAAGTAAAATTACCCTAATTGATTAGTATTTCAAACAAACATATTATTCAGTTTCCATATATATTATTATTTTTTCATATATATTATTATTTACCTTAATCGTTTTCATATAATAAGGAAAATTACCCTAATTGATTAGTATTTCAAACAAACATATTATTCAGTTTCCATATATATTATTATTTTTCCAATAGTCAATTAACTAAACCCATAGTCGAATTAGATACATGAGATAGTCTATTAAAATATATGAGATAGTCTATTAATTTTAAAACACAAATCCGCCGCCGTCACTTCTCAAATCTAGGGTTTTGATGATTCTTCGGTCCATAGTCGATTAACGAGATCCATAGTAAAATTATACCAGTGGGATAGTCTATTAAATGATATGGGATAGTATATTAATACAGATGTAATTCGACTATGCATCTCGTTAATCAACTATGGGCCGAAGAATTATCAAAACCCTAGATTTGAGTAATCCTAGATTTGAGTAACTCTAGATTGGAGCAGTGACGGCGACGGCGACGACGGCGGCCAATGACGATATCACTTCTGGTGGATGTCCTGCCCATCAATTGTTGCAATATCACTGATTTAGTGCTCGAATTCGGTATGCGATTATAACAGATCTGCAATTACACAAACGTGATAGTCGATTTAGCCAAAACATGTCAACAAATCGATGGATGATAGCGATTCAGCGAGTGGCGACGACGTACCTACGACAGCTTTCTCGGAGTGCACGAAAATCGTCGTTTCACGGCAGTGCAGACGTCTTCCCCTTTCAATCGGCCGTACCGGGAAGTTGTTCTGGGAGGTTTTGCAGTTTATTCGATAGTGGGTTTGGGATGATAGTGATTTAACGGGAAAATAGGAAGGGATTTGATTTTATTTCAGAAGGTAAAGTAACGGGTTTTGTGGGATTTGATTGAGGGAAATTATGTAATTAGGAAAAGTTTGGGCTGTTATCAAAATGGCAAATATAAATTTGGGTCTACCCCTATTATTTGAATGTTTAAGGGGTTTATATCTAATAGACCCATTATTAAAAGACAATATGTGTAATAGTAATTAGGATTACTCCATTTTGGATATTTAACTGGTAATCCGTAGTATTTTGTAAACTAAAGCAAATTTTACTATGTATATGCATGCACGCTTTTCGGCTAATAACCTCTTCGTGTTTTGTCTCGATGTTTGAAAATTATTTTCATACAGGTTCTCTGCTTAGAAAATCATGAAATTTTAGAAGTCTCTGCATCTTTCTGTTTTCATCATTTTGATAGGTCTTTTGCTTGATTTGAGTAAGTATTTAATTAGTTATGAATTATTTCTCACTACTGCACTGAAACAGGGTCATTCGAGTGTTTTCTGTTACAACTAGCGTTTTACTCACTCAAATGCCTTTCTCTTACTTGTAAAATGTTTTAAACTTATTTTTCTTCCTTGGAGTAAAATTGGGTAGTTTTTTGGTCAGTAAGGAATTTATTATGAATTTTCAAAACTCCCTCCCATGTTCTGAATTTTAAATTCAGTGACTGTGCCGTTTTATTAATTTCTCTGAAATGGTCAAGCATATTTGAAAACTATTTTAACGGAGTGATTTAGACTCATGGTAGATGGTATGGTATTGTTTTTCGGTCATTTTCATGAGTAGTTTAAGAGGAAATAATTTTTAAAGTTTATGCATTGAATCTGTCCGAATTTGGATTAGGTCCATCATACCTAGTTATCTTCTAGCCTTGCATGTAGTATGTATTTGTGTTAATTGATTGATTAGGGTTTAAGTATTAAAATTTCGCGAGCAAGAAATCGAGCTCAAAATGCCGCTAACGATCCTCACAATCAATCTCGTACCATCCAAGACCTCACCGCCCTCGTCCAAGAACAAAATGAACAAATCAACCGCCTTGTTAACCTTCAAAACCGAAACCCTCCTCCACCTCCTCCACCACCTCCCCCACCTAGAAAGACAGCCCCACAAGCCATCTACGAGCGATTCTTGAAAATGCATCCTACCGAATTCCACAGCGGCCCTAATCCAACTGTTGCCGAAGAATGGATCAAATCCCTCGAAGTTATCTTCGAATACATGGTGACCGAATCCACTGCGCACTATTGTTCTTGAAGAATGAAGCCAGAAATTGGTGGGAAGGCGCAAAGTGTGGGATCGATCTAGCAAATACCACTTGGGAAGCTTTCAAAGTTCTTTTCTTCGAAAAGTACTTTTCCAGGAATGTCCGAGCACAAAAGCTTAAGGAGTTTCTCGAACTCAAACAAGGAAACCTAACCGTTGCCGAATTCACTCGTCGTTTCGAGCAAGGAAGCTTCTATGCACCTTTCATTTCCATGTACGACACCGAGAAAATGAATCACTACCTAAGGGGCCTCAACCCGATATTCAAGCGCGACGTTCGACTAACCTCTGCTTATACTTTCCGCGGAGTAGTGGACAAGGCCTTAGAAGCCGAACAAGACGAGATGGAAATCCGACAATGCAGACCTCCTCAAGATGGCTTTTCTCGACCATGGAAGAAACCGAACCTCAACAACGCCAAAGGAAAGCAACCGATCAACCGAGCAACCGCGACCCCGAGAAACAAGACCTTTTGCCCTAAATGCAATCGAGAGCACTCAGGCAATTGTGTTGCCGGAACCAACCACTGTTTTCGATGCAAGAAGCCCGGACATATGGTCCGGGACTGCCCAATCGCCCCGAGACAAGTGCCGGGACGAGTATTCGCCATCATGACTAGACACCAAGCCGAAGCCAACCCGTCAATGATCGCAGGTACCGTTAATGTCTATAATAATTCCGTGTATGCCCTCATCGATTCCGGATCAACTCACTGATTCATCTCAAGTACCCACGTTGCCGAACTCCGCCTAGTCTGTAGTCAAGCCCACGGCTAGCTTACACCTGAAGCATCGAGGGTCACACTACTCGTGCACATGAGATCTTTGAATAAACGGTCAGAGATAAAAATATTTTATCTTTGCATGATTGGAAGTCAATATGATCGAGTCCATCATTGGTGATTTGGAATTATGAATGAGAATAATAAAAGGAAAAGAATAGGCGAACATCTTAGTGAACTTTCTAAATCGGGAAGTTTCCAAATTTAGAAAGTGCACTGAATTAGGGTTTCCACTTTTAGAAAGTTGGAAATCGATAATTGGCACTCGTAACGACAAGGACATTATAATGATTCCGAAAATGTAATCGTTACAATTTTCCGATCATTGAATTGAGAGTAACGAGCAAGTAAAGAACTAACGAACTTAAGCTGTTGGGCCCGGTCCAACTTACGCCCGTTAGGGCTTTTGTGCAATACACTATAAATACTTGATTTATAGGTCTTGCAAACACACAACCCTAATACGAAACCCTAGCCGCTCTCATCTCTCTCTCGGCCAACCTCTACCCGCGGCCACCACCGCCACGGTCGCCACCATCTCGCCGGAATCCGCCATCCCTTGGCCGATTGTCTTGGTTGTTCTTTTCTCTTTTCGTTTCTTCCGTTTTATTCTAACTATTTCGTGTCTAGTGCCACGTTTTAGTAGATCAAAGTATAAGAGGTGAAATCCGAGAGGAGGAAGATCGAAGAATCGAGGAGCAGCCACCGAACCAACGGCGCACGCGCTTCCACGCGCCGCCCGAAGACAGCGCGTGATCCTCACGCGCCGACGCCGTTGTTGCTTTGCCGTCGCCGCTTCCGGATTGCACAGATTGTTTTCCGTGGCAATCTTTCTTCGTTTCGTGCGCCTACCTCACGCTTCAAGAGGTAAAGTTTCGAATCCGTAGTTATTCGATATTGATTTAATTTAGATTAAATATGTATGTTCGTATCGTAGTATATTGTATGAATTTATATATATTAGGTGATTACATGAAATTCGTTATTTACTAAGAGCCTGATTAATTGATTTAATGCGAGCAGGCTAGAAATGTAGTAGGCAATATGACTCTTGATAGAATCATCCTCTAATCAGCCGGTCCTCCTAGAGCCAGACCATGTAATACAATTGGACAACTGAAAGTATCGCACTCGTACTAAGACTTGCGTGTGCGTGGAGCCGGGACGGGAACATCATCAAAATCGCTCGCCACAGGGTCCTGCTCCTCGTCGCGTTCCTCGTAGGGGATACGGGAATCTTCCCATAAAGATCGAATGCTAACCGCCATAGATCTCGAACTCCGGTCTACGTGGGGTATCTCTCCACGATGGGTAAATCATCAGTGCCCTGCTCAATAACTCTCCTACGTCGATGAGATGCAATCATACGAATGGGCTCGGCTTCCGCTGCGGCTTCCCCGCCTCCCCCCCCATATCGAAATTTAATCTTCGGGACTTTATCCGAACTTGAAGAAGCACCCATAATCCATTTCTCCTTGTTCTGATGTGCCATCTGTATAAAGTAAATAAATTAATGAAATATAAAAAAAAATTAAACTTGAAGCTCCCGTTCTGCAAAACACAGGAACTTGAAGACTATTAAAGCACTCGTGTTCTGCAGAACGGGAGCTTCTAGATTTTTGAGTCCTTCGTTCTGCAGAGTACGGGAACATGAATAATCTTCAAGTTCCCGTGTTCTACAGAACGGGGGATGCATATTTGAAAAAAAATAAAAAATAAAAAATTCAAAATTTTTTTTGAGTCTACTGTTTTTTGGAGCACGAAAACTTGAAGAAACTTCAAGTTTCCGTGCTCTGCAAAGCGGGAAATTCAAAAAACTTGAATCCTTTGCTCTACAGAGCACGGGAACTTGAAGTTTCTTCAAGTTTCGTGCTCCAAAAAACAGACGCTTCAAATTTAGTTTTTTTTTCGAAATTTGGCTAGATCTAATCCTAAATATGTTGTTTTTACCTAAATTGTAAATAAAACTAAATAAAAGTAGTGGGATATTGAAAATTTACCAAAATCGAGCCTCGTTTGCTTCAGATTCAAAGTTGAAAAAATTTACGAAATTCAAATGTCTAGAGAGAGTTTGGGAGTAGGAGAGAGAATTTAAAAAAAAATTAAATAAAAAAGTTTCCGCTGCATTTAGTAAAAGACCCGCTGCAAATAGCAACACCCTAAACTTAATGCTAATCTCTTAAATTATATTTTTATTAATATTTATAAAAGTTGACGTCCACAATTAAGTGCTCGTATTTCATTAAATCGGTTGAACAATGTATTTCAAAAATATTAAATTTTAGATTAAAATAATTAATTTTAATTTTAAATCTGAAATTAAAAAAAAATCAAAATATAATAATGTATTAATACAATCATCGTCTTAATATAATAGTATTAATAAATAGAAATATAAATTAATCCAGTATAATTGTTCGAACATATAATAGAAATACACAATTTCAAATTATTATTATTCACAAAAAATATTGTATATTTATTAAATAGTACAATGTTAAAAAACATTGTTAATAATTTTTGTTTGGGCGTGAACATATAGGTCCCTGGTGACAAAACTTATTAGAACTAAATTAGAAGTCTAACTAAACATTTGCTTCACATCCTTTTTAAATTTTATCCCAAAAATGCCATCCACACGCAAAATATGAAATTTGCATCAAGTAATATTTAAATTGCTATTATCATTTTTTATTATGCATTTAACATTTCATTTTGCATCGAACATTTTTTTTTACGTAGAACACATTACTCTTTTTTTTTTTTGTTATTATTATTCATTTTCGTATTTTTCAGTATTTTAGCAATCTATTTTTTCCATTCTTTCCTACATAATATTGAAAATTATGTATTTAAAAAAAAACAAAACGGTCACAGTCATGTATAGACTCCCATAGGAAACTGTAGTAATCCATAGTAACCCGTAGTAATCCATAGACATCTCTGATAGCATATTTTTGAAACCCTAGCATCTCCTTCTAACCCTAGCCGTCAAACATCCATAGTAACCCATAGACATCAAATTGAAAAATCGTAGATCCATCCCACCAAACCCTAGATCCACCCACCAAACCCTAGATCCGTGACGCCAAAGACCACCCACCCCCATCCACGCCACTAAGGATACCAGCCACTCCACCCACGCCGCCATCACCTACGCCAGCATCACCGCACCACCTACACTACTCTCGAACTCCAAGCACCGCCGATGGGCCAACATCACCCTTGAACTCCGAGCGCCGCCGACCACAACGGCTCATCCAATCGTCGTCGCTTACTTACCTTGATAACTACCTTCCCTATGCCGCCGCCTCCACCGCCATGGTCGTCGCCATAGCCACCACCTTCTTCAAGTGTGAAGTGGTGGCGAGAGAGAGTGAGATTGAGCGTGAGAGAGCCATAGAAATGCGAGAAGAAGAAGAAGAAGAGGAGAAGAAGAATAATAGATGTGACGGAGAAACGTAAATAATTAGTTTATAAGATTTAGGGTATAAGGGTGAGATAGGGATTAATTTTTTTTAGGGATTTGAAGCATATATTATTTCAAATTATGGATTTAATTAAAAACCGAATTTAAACTTGTCATTTAGTTCAAATTATGTTTTGTTTGAAGGGCTCATAGGATATTATTCCCCGTTTCTTTTTATTGAATGGATATTCGAACATTCTAAAATATTGAAAAAATAAACAATTATATTTCTTTATTGTAATATTTGAATATTTAAAAAATGTTTTTTTCTGAAAATTATTAGAATATTCGTAAAAATATTGAGTATGTTGAATTTTTTCAATAAAAATATTGAAATATTGAAAATATTAATTCAATATTTTTTTTTGAATTAATAGAAAATTAAATATGGAAATAATATATATACATGTGGTAAATGTTTAAATAAGTGTACAAATGTTAAATAGGAAAGAACTTAAGTACATACCAAATTAAAAATGACAACTAATCAATTGAGGAATCCACCTCATCAATTTAATGACAACTAAGCAATTTTGATAAATGACATAGACATTTGCCACATGTCATTCATATAGGGCATATATCCTCTTTTTATAGTATATATAGATTGAATATGGAATTCAACTTTTATATATGGGTTTTTTTGCACAAGTCTCTGACCAACCATCTTTATTATTCTAGGTTCAGGGGCTATATGTCTTTTGCCAATAAGTCCATCCCTTTAATATGTATAATAAATAAATGAAAAAATAATGTATATGACGAAATTACCCCCAACTCTATACACCCAATTCTTAATTGTAACCCCAATTAAATCAATTTTGACCACAAAAATCCAATTTTGACTTTTTTTTTTCTAAAAACTTATTTTTTTTCAGAAATTATTTTTTTTGCCGCCAGTTTCCGGCGTTGACTTTTTGATTTTTTTTTACTACTGGTGTGTTTTTTCAGCCATCGGTCTCCAACGTTGACTTTTTCGAGTTTTTATTTATACTGGTCTGTTTTTTCCACCGCCGGTTTCCTGCGTTGACTTTATTTATTTTTTATTTTTTTTTACGCCCGCCGCTAAACGTTGATCGTAATTGTGTTGTTATTTACAGTAATTATACTATCAGTGACAGTAAATTAACGTAATTATATTGTCATTGACTGTACATTAACACAATTGTACTGTCGCTGACAATACATATATGTAATTGTACTGCCACTGACAGTACAATTAGAGTCAACGACAATATTATTATTTTTTATGGTTATTTTTTTTTTATTTTGTTTGATGTTGATAAGTCGACGTAATTATATTACTGACGTTGAATAAGTAAACACAATAATTTGGGTTTTTTGTTTTGTTTAAGTTATTGCCGGAGTAACGTAATAATATTACTGTCTATTATTGTGATATTACTGTAAACAGAATAATATTATTGTGGTTGACGATAATATTACTGTTGTTCCAGTAATATTAC